CGCCCGCGCCCCTCCGCGGGTCCCGCAGCGCCACCGCGGTGCGGCCTCCGGCCCTGGCTCGCACCGGGCGCAGCGCCGTCCAGTAATTACGCGCGCTGGGTTGGCGCCATGTGCACCCGGCCGGCACCCGAGGTCCGGTCTGCTCCAGCCGAGCCCTTCACACCTCCTCCGCCCCAACCCTTGCTAGCGCCCCACTCGGCGTCCTCCTCGGCCCACCTCTCCGGGTCCCCCGCCGCGCCCCACCCCGCCCGCCCCAGCTCCTCGCCGTCAGACCGCCGGCGAGGAATGAAAATACTCATTAAAAACCTGTCGCCTTCCAGGACGCACTGCCAAGAAGAGGGCAAACACCTCTGCCTCCACCCGCAGCGTTCCTTGGTATTCGGCCCAGTATCCATGAACACCACCCCACCCCCAAAAGAAACCTCAAAAATGTAAGCCTAAACAATTTCTTTGGGAGCCCGTAAGAGTGTTAGAAAAACACTACTTTTAAAAATAGTGCTGGAAAAATTTTTTTAATTCGTAGCTTTGCTAATCCTGCGGTTATCTCCCCCCCACAGAAACAGAGGCGCCCCAGTGAATTTATTCCCAATAAATTACTCTCTGGACACACAGCTGGGATTCGGTTCCTCTTTTTTCCCCTCTCACCGCCCGAGGGTTGAAGTTACTTCGCTTCTTCCAACACCGGGTTCTGATCAGGAACTTCCTTAGAAACAAAAATCATTTCCCCTCTCCCTTACCTTCTCCTCCCGTGTCAATCCGCAGGGAAAATCCTATACGTGGAGTAAAAAGTCCATCCGAAGCCTCTGTCCTCTCCTGCGGTGCCCTCCTGTTCCTCTCCCTCTAGCTCCAACTGTAATGGACTCAAAAACCGCGTTTGGTAATTGATTCAATGTTACAGTCCATCCTTCTAAAACTAATCATTTGCTCTAAGTAAATAGCTGTCAGGAAATGAAGCCCCCCCCCCTTGGTCTCTTCAAAATAAAAGTTTCCCTCGAATTCCCGGCGCTCTAAATCTCCCAGTCTCCAGATTGCGCCTTCGCGTTTTGCTCTTACGCAATCAGGGGGTCCAGTCCCAACCCCCAGACTTCGACAACAACTCGGGGGCGGGGAGAAGCAGACCAGATGGGGTAGGGGGTGCGGGAAGGGGGAGGCGATGGTCTACCGGGACAAGGTTTGCTGGAACTACAAGCAGCCCCTCACCTCCAAATGAGTTTGCGTCTCCATTCGGGGGATTTTTTTCCCTACACTGCTGTAGTTTTGTATTCTCTGTGTAAAGAAGGAGCACGTAAAACTGCAGTGGAAATGTAAATCTGGACTCGGGAAATGTCCCTTCTGCGGAAACCCGGACCCACTGGAAGAGGGCCCTGGGGAGGAGCGTCCGAGCGCTCGCGTGGTCTCCAACTAGGGGTCTTTGGGGAGCGCCTTGTGGCCGCTGACCCTTTGACGGGGTGGGCGAACGGCGGCGTCCCAGCCGAGGATGTCGGGACTTTGGGGCGAGATGGAGTCTGCGATAAGGCGCAGCAAGCGAGGGTCCTCGTAGGTGGGAACTGGAGGCAGAACGACCTTTACCCCCCGGGGAGCCCCTTATCTCGTCGCGCCTTTGTCTTCGGGGTATCTGGGAGAGGTCCCGGCTTCCATGTCGCACAACCAAGGCCCCGGGGTGGGCTCCGGAGAGGGGCCCGCGGCAGGGCCGCGCCCCCGCGGGCTGGGGGCGCATCTGCGCCGGGCCCGAGTTCCTCCCCGGGTCGGACGTCCGCAGGTCCTGGAGCCGAGCCCCACGCTCGGCGCCC